CCTCAGATGTAAGGGCTTATTTAAAACCTTGCCTTTGGTTATTTAGTGGTGATTCTATTTTGAGATATAGTTCTTGTATAACTTTTGGTTTTCAAATTTTTAGACTGTTCTGTTTTACATGTGGCATACCAAACTAAGTGGACTTTATTTATACCAGACTTTATCTTATAACAAATGTTGATTAGGTCTTTCTACATACCCAAACTAGTAGAATAGTAGGATTTCTAGGAGTGATTTTCTGGAGATTAAAATTTTTTCTTTTGGGTGTGGAAAGGGGCTTTATGGGCGTTGAAGTTCCAACTGTATGCTAGAATATAGTATGTTGATTGTTGAGAAGAGAGTGGAAAATGACGAAAAGAGTATGTTCCTAAGCGCCAAGACTTGATTTCTTTAGTATTTAGCAAACTTCTACATAAACTGTCCGAGCATGTGCATCCCTAAAGTCAAAGTGGATATCATTTTTTTCTAACTTTTAATGTTGCACTTTTTTGGCCTCTCGACATTTGTTCCAGATGCTGCTCTGAGTAAGAGATATGGTATTTGAAATTTTGACTCCTTGTTCTGTCTTCTCGTTATTTTCATTTTTCAGTCTTTTATAGTCTCATGCCAATCCTCTACAAAGAAACTAGTGATTCAGGACTGCCTCAACTAATCAGCTAATAGCATCTCTGAACTCTGATTTCAGTGGGTTAAGGATCTTTGCATAATTTCTTATGTTTCAAATTTCTATCTGTATGTTTGTGCAACTTCAATTAATGCATGTATTTTCTAGGGATTCTTTTCTGAGGCATATGGAATTTGACTTGAATGACCGAAGGAGTATCAGGTTTGTCTTTGTCTTGTTGAGTTCGTTATCTCTTTCACCAGGGAGAGAGTTGTGCAGTTCAATGCTGATGTCTCAAATAATCATGACGGTAGATTTGTACTCAAATAATCATGAGAACTTTAGTGGGAATCCAGGACTATTGTGTCTTGCTGCTTAAGCATAATTTCTGTTGGCACCAATGGGGTCCTCCTACATCATTTTGGGGTTTCATTTATTTGTGTTTCAGCACTGGTATTGGAAAAACTCACATTTGGCATGCACATAAAGGCTGAAGCAGCATGCATAATGATACGTGTATCAGGATCAGGGAGGAAAATAGATATGTCCCATGGTGGTTGATCTAGTGGTTAAGAATTTGAATCACAATGTTGGAGATCCGAAATTCAAATCCTGGGGTAGGTGGGGAGGGGTTTCGAAAGGGAAGGGCTGTCTCCTATTATATATCTCGTCGGCTGATGTACCAAAAAAAAAAAAAAAGAAGGTTAGGTTACTAGCTTGTACTTGATAAATGAGCAGACAAATGTGGGTAATAAATTAATAATTCTTAGGAGTTCTGCTGCATAATCTTCAATGAAACCTGAACAGTAAACTGCATTAAAAACCAATTGTCATTATCGTTATCATTTCAATCATGTGAAAACTCTGGGAGGATTGGCTCAGTTAATCTGTCTGCTTCTATTTTCTTTTCCTTTTTCTAGCTGCAGTTTACTTCAACAAAATCCAGTGCTTTTGCTTTGAGGAGCAGCGTCTTCTTCACGCCCATTTTAGGATCTGTTTCACAATATTATTAAATATATATCAATAAATAAAAATTTTTTAATTAAAGGGTTATAAATATTAAATTAATATAAAAATTGACATATATGATTTACATAAATATAATTTTAAATTCGATAGTTGATTTTTAAAAATATTAATTAGAAATTAGATTTTTAAATAAGTCCTAAAAAAGATTTAAGAGAATGACACGTAAGGGGTGATACTCATATTTTTATATAATTTTTATACAACCTTATATATTATTTCATGATTTGCTCTTTTTACTTTATTAAGATCTATAATCTTGTATACATCCTCATTTAATGATATATAAAAATTATTCAAACAAATTATTAGCACGTCAACACTGCAATAGAAATAATCTTTAGTTGAAACTAAACGGTCTTAATCAATTATTTACTGTTAATTATAATTCAAATTTAACCTTTAACCAAAAACTAAAATCACAGGCACTTGGCCTCATGGCTCAACAGCTATAGATCGATTTGTAGAGTGTATCTTTTAAACTCGAGAGTTAGGATTCGAATTCTCTTAGGATTCAAATTCTCCAACTCTCAATTCGTAA